GTCCTCATCTGGTGAGATCGACAAACGAATCTCTTCTTCATGTACTTTCATTCGAAATGAAGGTCCGCCTCAGGAGATTCATCGAAACCAAGTTTCTCTTCGTAGCTACAGTCCACTCTATGAGGTTTAGTCTTATGCTTGTGGGAGAATTCAATTACCAAAAATTTATCAACTTAGAAGAAATATTTATATATATAATTAACTAAAAATCTTAAAACCCTACACACAGACGAAAAACTTGATAACCACTCCAGACTGCTACGAGTTCACTTGGATCAGAGGGCAAATGAAAATTTCGATGAAGGCCAGGCATTTCCCATAATGTTTTCTGGAAAATTTACATGAATAATGAAAATCGCGAAAATTTTTCCGTTTTGCACGAACAGCATGCCAGTTGACTACCTTGTGTGTCTGATGATCGTCTTAAATAGCATCACTGAGAGCATATCCATTTGAAGAGAGAAGAGCTCTGTTTACCTTCATAATTGAGTTGGGAGAGACAAGAGAAAGATAAATGAGCACAGACAACAGAGCGACAAAATTATCTGGAACTGAATCTGGTTTCTGAATAAACCAGAGTTGGAAGAATGAAAAAAACTTTTTAATCGAAGTGTTTGACTAGAATTCGGCAACATCATGTAAAGTGAACTTTTCGATGGTTGCTTAACCCTAAACGAAATGGGCATTCTCAAGATCCTATTTATCATCTACTGACTGTCATAAAATCCAGGCAATAAAAATATTCTACATTTTTCATTTCATAAGTGGGTATTCGAGGCTACCAGTAGATTATATATGTGAGATAAAGTAACCCTATTTAGTTAATGTGATGGAGGTCTGGTAGTTAAATTTTCCCACAATGATGTTAAGTAGGCCAAACTTTTTCGTTAGACTTCACATAGCCTGGCTTCCTAAAAGTTATTGTAAAAGCAAGAGAATACCATATAGGATTGTAAGGTTCTGTAAAATCTACTGGAAAAGTAAGGTCTACTGATATCATTGTGGGAAAATTCGACTTCCAGTCCCTTTATCACCTTAGACGAAATAGGATAAAGGCATCTCTTGTATTATTCCATACCATATTATCATACAACTGATTTACTGGTAGTCTCAAAACTCTAATTTCCTACAAAAATAAAGTAATGTAGTGATTCTTATAGCAAAAATTATTTGCCTTATCGACCATCCCACCAAACAAAGTGATATGGGAAAAGGCCTGGTCTTCCTTGGAATTCACATCAGCTCTGTTACCCAAGGGCACTCGTGATAATGTGGTCGAGTGGTTAACATGTCAAGCTTAAATGCTTTACTTTCACGGTTCGACTCCCGCTGGGGGTGTGGATAAGACCGATGCGAGGTCGAAACTGCAGTCCATCTCAGCTCGGATGGTAACACATTTTGGGAAGGCAAGGCTATGTTAAATGTAATGGAAACGTCAGCTCTACTCATACCATTTTGAAAAAACTTGACTACCAGTCCTTCATACCTTAAGAAAAATAGGGTGAATACCTCACATATTACTGATTTACTGGTAGTCTCGAAATTGATAACACTACTTATTTTGCGTTTGTAAGTAGGTTTTCGAGAAGATCAGTTTATCAGATGTTGAGATCAATTGAGGCGAGGTCGAAACTGCAGTCTACTCCAGCCGTGTTTAGAATACCTTTTGGGAAGAAGAGTTGGGTGGATACACCACATATATAAAAATATAAATAAATAAATATATAAATATATATATATATATATGTGATCTACTGGTGGTCTCGAAAAGCTTGTTGGATAAACTTTCATTTCGTATAAAAGTCCATGAAGAAGAGATTCCTAGGCCTATCTTACCAGAAAAAGATCGCAGAATCCCGTTTTACTGCAGATGCCGTCTTCTAGTGAGATCAGCCTACAAGGCTCTATTACATGCACTTTATACGAAATGAAGGTCTCTTCAACAAGCATATCTAAGGAGATTTATCGAAATCCGGTTAATTTTTATATCTCGAAAGTCAACTTATAAACAAAAAATAAGTATTTTAGTCGATTGTTATAGCAAATATGGCATTGCTTAATCGACAACCCGAGCAAACAATTCGATATGGGAAGACTCCTGGCCTTCCTTGAAATTCACATCTGCCCCATGACACTGTGTGGCGTAGTGGATAAAGTGTCGAGATTGTACACTGCCCTGTCAAGGCTCGAGTCCGGTTGGGTGAGTTGATAAGCCCAGTTGAGGCGAGGTCGAAGGTGCTTGCTTTCGGGTAGGCAAGGCTATGCGATGTGGGATTGAAACGAAAGGTCTATTCATCCGATGGTGGGAAAATTTAACTAACAGTTACCTTATCACCTTAAACGAAATAGGGCAAACACAACTCATAGGATATTTTATATACAAAATAGCCGAAGATTTCGTGCCCAAACTACCAGGCATCATCAACCATCGTTGATTGAGTTGAGGTCATTCATGAAAGTCGTAAAGTCCTCCTGTACAGAGCATTGTCTATGCTCTAATTGTAGATGTCTCTTGTTGACTTCTTTTCGAGGCATATACGCTTGTTTGGCTACTTGGTTTGGGTTAGGAACCGAGACATTGTCGCTGGCCTGACGACCTTTCACAGAAGCCAATCGTGACACAAAGCCTCCGGAAAAATCAATGTTGAGCAGACTTGGAGTTTTACAGAAATAATGAGGCAATTAATTTCTCGAATTAGAGATGAGCTCTCGCAAGACGCAACGACTGTTGGAGGCGGGCTGGAAAGAAAGACCAGAGGGTGGATGAGCCCAACAAAGCATAGAAAAGTGGCAAAAACCAGAGAGAGCAAGACGAAATGCTGGGCAAAAGTAGAGCCAGAGCAAACAAAGACATGTTGCCAGGCGTCGTTCTGATGATACAGAACCAACATGTCTACCCCTTCTCTGCCAGAAGCGGTATGGCACCGAGCCCTGATTTGCCAGGCATGATCTCATTGCCGCTTGACTTGCTGTAAATGTGGCATCCTCCGTCTGTCTCGGCCAAAGATGGCGTCAATTTGTGCTCTAGACTGGGCCCTCGGAGTTGAGCAAGTTTGGTCTGCGAATCTGCTTCGGTCTCTGAAGGCAATGGTGCACTTCGTGTCGGCTTGTCTCACCAACCGCCGAAAAGGGAGGCTCTCGAAGGCAAGATGGTTTCTCAAGAGTGTCCAAATGTGTCTACCTTGTTGTCATGCCGATGATGAGTAATACTTTGTAATAACAACCTCAATGCCACTTGAGATAATGTTATTTAATAGAGGTCTAGCTTGTCGTCAAGAGAGTATCTACTCTGCGACCCACCGGTTGCCATGACTGTTTAGCGAGGCCAAGAGCCTGCCTTCGAATCTCTATCAATTCATACCTCCACTTCAGTAGCCCAGGCGTTATATTAAAAAAATACCTTTGAAATTTATGCGATGATTGTCTTCCACCCCTAAATATTCCCAGAAATAATATTTTGTTTTCCATGACTCTTTTGTGATAAAATTGGAATACTTAATTTCATTTTGTGTGAAAATAACTAATGAACATTTTCACGCCTAAAATTCAGCAGAAGACTACGGCAGGAGTGTGTGGTGAAATCGACTATTACAGCTCATCTACAGACACATTCACACGATTTAGAGGTCGATAGGACCAGTTCCATTATCATCGTAGACGAAATAGTATAAACACATCTTTACTCTTCACTGCCTTAACGATATAAACTAAGTACTTTTTATAATTATTAAGCCTATTCTCCTTTCAAGTGAAAAGATTTGATAAAAATATTCGAAGGTCGATCCCACCAGAAGACGAATGCGAATTCCTCTTGAACAGCTGTCGATTGGCTTTACTGGAAAATATTTTTTCTATATGAGTAGAGTTTCGAGATTACAAGTAAATCAGTTATATGAAATGTATTTACCCCATCTCGTTTAAGATGTTGAAGGAGTGGTAGTATAATTTTCCCACAATTATATGAATAGAGCCAACGTTTCCATTCAATTTCACATAGCCCTTCTGTCCCAAAAGTTGTTCTCATTTAGGGTGGACTGCAGTTTCGACCTCTCGAAGGCAAGGTCGTTTTTCAAGAGTGTCTAAATGTATCTACCTTGTTGTCATGCCGATGATGAGTAATACTTTGTACTAACAACCTCAATGCCACTTGAGAAAATGTTGTTTAATAGAGGTCTAGCCTGTCTTCAAGAGAGTATCTACTCTACGACCCACCGGTTGCCATGACTGTGTAGCGAATTGGTGGAGCCAAGAGCCTGACTTCGAATCTCTATCAATTCATACCTCCACTTCAGTAGCTCAGGCGTTATATTAAAAATAATACCTTTGAAATTTATGCGATGATTGTCATCCACCCTTAAATATTCCTATAAATAATATTTTGTTTCCCATGACTCTTTTGTGATAACGTTGGGATGCTAACTTTAATTTTGTGTGAAAATGCCTAATGAACATTTATGCCTCAAATTCAGCAAAAGACTACGACAGGAGTGTGTGGTGAAATCGACTATTACAGTTCATCTACAGACACATTCACACGATTTTGAGGTCGACACGACCAGACCTTTACGTTAGCAAAGTATAGGCTTGAGGAGGAATGAGAAAAACTGTGGGTTCTTGATAAAATCAAGTGATTGTGGCAAACTGACGTTGTGGTCAGAACCCACGGGCTCGAACTAGGTTGCATCAAATAGGCGACTAATGAAAGGTTTCAGCGACCAAGTTTCCGCTGTCGG